TGTAGCAACAATGTGTCCGATGGTAATGAGCTTGAGGTTTCGGTCCTTCATCTTAGGGACTTTGACGGCGGCAACTGCCACCAGGTATATAGCGTATGCGAAGCCTCCCAAGCAGACGAGCGTTTTGTGCTTGATCTTTCGGGTTGGATTAATGGGCGCATTGCCGGACATAACGCAGAACCAGATGTAGCACCCGATGACGTTACTGATCCATGCAATTGTACCGTAGGATAAGAAGAAATGAGGAAGATCCCCATCTATGGAGAATGTGCTGCCAAGCGTCATGTTGCATTTGACGTTCCCGTTGTTATCATCTAAGCAGATGGATTGGTAGCTGTCGGTACTACAGACCGTCACGAGCGAGTCCGCGTAGTTAATGGAAGAACAGCCTTTTGTGCCGTCAAACATAGTGAATCAAGTTTGAACCAGTAGCGTCAATGTAAAGTTAGCTAGAGTTCTGGTATGATTTGAGATGAAGGAAAGGGAGGTTTTGAAGCAAAGATAAATGTGCACGCTCTACTTCAATTCAGGCCTTAGGGCCTGGAGTTGAGCAACCTCCATCGTGACAGCGCCAGTCAGCCCAACGCCTAACAGAAGGAATGTGGCGAACTTCAAGGCAGAATCTAGTCGATCCAGTGTTGCCTGATCAGGACAGCCAATGGTCGGTGTCGGAAGACGATGGTTGTCAGCTTTGTCGGGAGATCGACGACGTCCGGAATCGCCGACCAATGGCAGACTGCCCAGCTCGACCAATCAACTAAGAAGTGCATCCTTCGACACAGCTCGCCCTGTTCCGGGCACATGATCCAGTTCACATCGCCAGCTAACAATCTTGCTCACTGCCACCTCCCAAGGGGGAACCCTCCGAGGCTCTTGTCTGTTCTGGAAGGCCAGAAAATTCGTCAGAGTTCTTTTATTCGGCAACACTGAACACGTCAGAGAGACGAAATAAATCCCAGCGATTTCTAAGTCTGTCTGTACTCTAGTGATTTTTGAGCGTAGCAACATGCTTTTAGTGGCTGTGTTAGATCAACTGGGGGTAGTGGCCTTGGCGCGGAAAGAAAAACATGAGTTCAAATCCCGTACGAATTAGGGGGTTTCGCCACCACGTGCAGATATTGCTTTCTATGTTGCCAAAATCGGAAGTGCCGCAAAGAGGTAAATTCGCCTAAATGTTAAACCTCAAACTGAGTTTATGATGTTGTACTTATAAGCGTTCAACTTCACGGCATCTTCAGATTGCCCACAGATATAACTGGGGAAAGCGGATCAAAGCTCGCTTTCGTGTTCCGCGGAGCTGGCCGGGATAAGCAAGTGGGTAATGCAAATGAACTACGGATACCACGGATACAGTTCAAAAGTCGTAACTTCTCTCGACCTAAGCTAGAACGGGGAGATTTCTTCCCCTGGAGCAGATCTTCTGGCTCGATGTCCTCAATGAGGGGCGCAAGCTCGATGTTATAATCGCTCATGAGTATTAGGTCACGATAACATAACCCGCCTGGCGTAAAGCTCTTCGATAGCCATGCCATGCCACTTGCACTTCTCTCACTTTAGTAAGTCAAGTTCCCCTTGACCTCCCGCGTACGATTTGTTGGAAATTATCCAATATGGCTTTGAGCGTCCTGACCTGTAGCACTTTTCGCACAGGCGTGTTGAGTTTTTAGGATCGTTTAGTCGTAGCTGTTCTGTCTCCTATATAGCCAAGAGAGTTTAGGAGCCACTTGCATCAATATAATATAATATGCTTTCGTATAACATCCATGGTATTCTTCATTAAGTATATTTCATTGAGTAAGGTTTCTGACGAGTCCTAAAATCCTCACAAACTGCCGAGAGTCCGAGCTTATCGTATCGAGGCAGTGAAATGTATCCGCATAGCTGTTAGTCCGAAAAGTACAAATCATGACCACGCTCTGGTATCGAAGCTTGATCAAATCGCGCTGCTCATTCACGTTTACTCATCCACCAGATTCCATCGACCAATTTCACGTTTTTTGTAATTTACCCACAATGAGACTCATTACTCTTCTCTTTGCCGCAACTGCAAATGCATTTTTGCTGAACTGTAACGGTGGAACCGCCGGTGACGGAGGCTGTGAAGCGAATGGCCTTCACACCTATTGCGTGAGTGTGCTTAGGTCGGTTTATGCGCAGTATAGCGTGCTGAAATACCTTCGCAGTGTAACGAATCTTTCGAGACCCCGATCTATGTCAACGTCCGCGACGTCACCGTTCTGTCGAAGAATCCTCAAGGCAACAGTGACTGCAGGCCGACGGGGACCAACACGGTCGGAAGGGTTTATTGTGCTGCATAAGATCGGCTCGGTGAATCATGCGGATAACTTAGTACTACCCTCCATATTATTCTAGTACTTAGACAAGAAGCGTACTAGCCTCCCGAAATGAGATTGGGTAACTACTAATCAGTTATGATATCGCTCTGCGTTGTCTGTCCCCAATCATAGCAATAATGGTGGCATACTATCTAAGGATGACAACATACTTGCCTCACGTTCAAATGCACTTGATGAGTGAGTAATTTCCACAGCTCACCTCAGATCTGCCATTGTACTATTGTACTAAGAAACAACAGGAAGGTTACATTGTGGCGAGCTCGTATCGCTCTAGCCTCTCTTTTGACAAAGTTGCACTTTCTCGCTTATTCGTTGATGGTTCTGCCTTTCCCGCTTATTATGTCTGCAGGTTGCCTCGACCACGCTGTTCCAAGGAACTTACTAGTCACGAAGGCACAGTAGACTGAGAATGTGTGGGCCTAAGCTAAGGTTGAATTAACCTGTCGTCTACCGCTTATACGGCAACTACCTTTTATGACAAAAGAGGGGTAGTTCGTCACTCTCAATGCAAAGGCTGCATTTTCTAAAGTTTTGGCTGACGTCTTTCCCTCACTCTTTGTCAATCAATAGAATATACTGCAACTCCCCTTTTGAGAGAGCATCGGAAATCAGGGTGCAGCCTCAGACCGAAATCGCTAGTCTCCTAGTCTAAGAGGACTCAGAACACACGAAGAAGGTGGCTGTATTCCGTTTGGGGCTTTTAAGCTACTGCACAAGAAATGGTTTGACACCGGAAGGAACTGATGTACTGATCCCTCTTAACAAAGGGAGTGAAGCCTCGGCCCGCGGAGCCTCACTTTGAGCGGCAACAGTCCTACACAGATTGCCGTGGCGAATTCTCTGCATTGTACCTCCATGGTCTTGAGCTGAGCGGTGTATCAGGCAGCAAGCTGTTCAAGCCCGCGGGTTGATGGAGAGGCTCCGGAACTAAGCAGCTCGACGTAGATAGCCTATCAAGACATGAAATGGTAATCGTGCCCTCATCCGCCACGGGAGCGGCCCGAGTTTGGTTTTCTGCTAAGCATTTTTCAACCTGAGCCGATCCAATCGGCTGCAACCGACCTGCATGGTGACCACCCACTTCTCTTTGCATAATCGCCCGATCAACTAGATGCTTTTTACTCTGATGGGCGCATCCAGTCTACATAATGCTTATTCACCTCGTCTGGTGCACTACTTATTACCTCATGTCGACAGGGTCACGAAAGCAGGCTCTCAAGGTATTGTCGTTTTGTGCCGAGCTTCTTGCAGAAGGGTCGCCATACCTGGGCATTGAATGGCTCTCATATCGCAGCTCGTGCTAACCGAGGTGTCATCGGGGGCCAAAAGCGACCCAAGTGCTGACGGACTGGATTTGGAGGATTTGCCGACAGCCGGTGGGTTGCTGGAACAAAAGTTCGTCATTGGGATCGATGTGCTTCTTTTCCACCTGTGCAGATGGATGCCTTGAGAAGGTTGCAACGCCTCATATCCTGTCCGTTCTGGCAACTAGGCGGTTGCTGTGCCTCTGAAGCGGGGGAAGCCAGTCTAGCATATGACCTAAATGGTGCGTAGTTTCGCGGACCTAGGTTAGAGCATAGAGAATTGGGAACAAATCTATAAATGCCCTCTGTGTTCTGCATAGAGGTTGTTGATTCTCTCCCTCTTTACTAGAGATTTCAGTACCAAAATTCAAACAACGTTCAAAGCCCAAAATGCGCTTCAGTCTCTTCTTCCTGTCAGCCCTTGTAGCCAGCTGCTCTGCCGTGGCGATCCCCGGCGAGCACTCTCATGAGCATGACCTCGCCATGGACATGTCTCCTGTTCCAAGAGGCGTCTTAGACAAGCGCGACTCGTACGACTGCAAGGGAAGCTCCCTCTGTTCCTCTCTCAAAGTCGCCGCCTGCGACGACGCGGTGAACAACAAGCTCATCCGTAACAACGACGTTAATTATGGCGCTCCGGGGTAATTCCTCAACCTTTCTCATCTTCACAGCTTCACTCTGCCATTCAACCGGCTTTGCTTGTATACTGAGAGACTGATCATTTTCCGCGACTAGGAGTGGGAGACCCAAGACTGGAGCTTGTTCCAATATCTTTGGCGGTTATGGGTGTGGAGTCTTTATCCAGGGCAAGTCCGGTTGTGCTCGTACCGGCAACCAGATGTGGTATGATTACCAGGATATCCGCGCCAACGGCTGCAGAGTCTGTGGTTCCAAGCACTGGGGTGATGGGTGTTTAACTACCATCAACTACGTTTCTGGGTGCTAGTTTGATCAAAATTCCGTCGTCTGGATTGAGACTCTGTGTCACTCAGCTGTTGGCTACTGTGGCTGGATGTAATGGCCCAAGACTGTGCTTAGTTTGATATGTCAGAGAGGGCCGCGCCTGTCTTTTATCTTCCGAACTGTCGTTACTTGAATTATCGAAATCTGCGCCTGGCTCGATTTCCTGATACCTCTGATGCATGTAGTCTGCGCCACAGATTCCAATGTTCAAAGCCAGTACAGTACTCCTAAAGTACAATCGTGAACTACTTTCTGATCGAGGTGCCCGTAAAGAACTCTTCCTCCAAATGATAACTTGGCCGGATAATCAAAACGTGATGGATCTCAAATAATCCTCCTTCAGAAACACTCGAAGACTGAAAGAATTAGAGGAATCTCATCGAATAGCAACAGGGTGTCGAGGCTTGGCCCGACGTTTGACAACACCTCCACCTTGTTTGCGAATTTTCTGTTGAACTAGTTGCGCATCTCGCCGATCAAGGACCGCACGAGTGTGTACAATGATTGGAATGTCAACGTCCGCTCTACCACCTTGCGGGAGTGCTAGCTTGGGGGTGGCCATGTTCTGCGGTTCGTCGATGTCCATGTTACTTGACCACTGGCGGCGAGGTACTGTCTGAACGCGCACAGGGCGGGGAGGAGAAGTGCCCGGCGGATAGTATGGCTCAATCTTCCCTGGGCGCGTCGTCAAGCCTCGGCCTCCAAACAGGCTGTTCAGCATCCACGCAGCCGATGCGCGGCGGTCCGGTTCGAGCTCAGCCATGGGCGCGAGCTGTTTGTGAATCTTGACAGAGTCGATGAGCAGCTTCTTGGAATTCCTGTAAAGCTCATGAACGCTAATGCTATTTTTAGCACGGGGCGGGAAAGCCTTCATCTTGCTCGACATTGCGACAAATGCTGCGTAGAGTGACCAAACGTCCATCTTGTGGCTCTGTTTGTAGGCCGATTCTGAAAGTGCCGAAAGCTCTGGCCAGAGCTCGGGAGCTTGGTACGCGACGGTGCCGCACATTGTTTTCGCGAGCTTTTGGTGATTTGCGAGCCCAAAGTCGGCCAATTGGAAAATGTAGCTACCTGGTGAGATGCCGGGATCGTACAGGATGTTTTCTGGCTTCAGGTCACGGTGTACTACACCAAAGTTGACAAGGTAATCCAGAGCGCAGAGCATTTGCTCTAAAATGTCCCGACATGCTTGTTCGTATTGTGCTTCCGGCATCTTGAGGCCGACGAAAGTGCTTAACGAGCCAGATCGATAGGGCATAATCATCTCAGGCTCGAGAGTATCGACTTTGTCGTAGCCCAGAATCTCGATGATATTCACCTTTGCGTGAGATCTTGTTAGCGAATCCACCGGACCAGAGATGGAGGCATGCGGCCACGCGCGGTATCGCCCCCTTTTCATGGATAGACAAGTTCAAAGAAAGACAGACGTACGTGATTGAGACTCTGCATAGTTTTGAGCTCTCGGTGGAAAAGAGCCCGAGCCCCGTCTTCCTTGTCTTTGGGATAATTGCCTAGATGGACCACCTTTATGGCAAGCGGAGCAGAGGTCTCTGCATCAACGCTCCTGTACACGGTGCCGAAGGTGCCTCTTCCCACAAATTGACGAAGTGCCTTGTTTTCTCGAAAAAGTGCCTGCTTCGCTGTTCGTGGCCTGGTGATCCTGTGTGAAACCTGCTCTGATCGCTCGAAGCCAGTAGGCAAGTCGCGAGATCCCAAGCCCTTCAACATGGACATGGATTGTCGGAAGCAAGCCCAAGCGAGTTCCTTGAGGCGTTCGTTGTTGACATGTGGTGGATCGCGCGAGGAAGAGACTGTCCAGACTAGGTCGAATCGGTACGATGAAATTTGGATGTTGTAGTTTTGCCCGTAGAGCATAACGACCTCTCCGTCGACTACTTTATTGACATCGTCACTCTCCAAGAGTGTGCCACGTTGAGGTCGGAGTCTGGAATCGACAAGAAGCCCAACAGCGACGGTGGACTCTTGCTTTTTCGACCTGACGACCAAATGTATGAGCTTGGTGGTATCTTGGAATTCAAACGCGACGTGTTCTCTGCACATGGGCTCTGAACTGGTATTTCGATTGAGCACCAGATCTCCTTTCCGGCCGAGCCTGGCGATCACGAAGCCTCCTGTAGACGCGACATGAAATCCGACCTCCAGGCCGGGTTCTTGGAGAGCGCTAGTGGAGACGAAGCGGCGATTCTCAGGCAGGGACAGCGCATCTTTGGCAACGGAGTTTCCAGGCACTAGATGAAAGAGAGTCCTCGCATTCGGGGAAGCCATCTCGGCAGGTTCTCTGACTGATCGTTATTTCTCGAACTTTTTGATCAAGCTTGGGTTACTGGCGGATGAGAACTTACGAGAGAGTACAGGCAAACTAAACCTTTTCTTAGCGAGTTGCTAACCAATGAAGTAGAGTGACAAAGAGGAGATTGGCGAAAATGAAAATATCTAAATCTGCAGTGAAGAGATAATATGGCGTAAAAATTGAATAAAGAGGATGACACCGGCTGATCAAATATGCGGAGGGCGGAAAGAATAGTACGCTTACTCTGGTTGTCTTAAGTAAACAGAACTTCAGCGTGCTCAATCGGCTTTCCGTTCGGTTGGAATGGCGAAACATTTCTCTATGCAACAGGCCTTTTTGCTTCTTTTCTTAGAATCTACAACCAACATCGTGCAACGGTAGCACCAACACCGCGGCATGTGGCCGGGAGCGTGGCCGAGCCCGGCGGCTCGCTGTGAAGTTGGTGATGGCGGTATTGATTGGCTGATGACATGGATGAAAACGGGGCCAGCTAAGCGCGCGGATGGTCCGGCTCTATTTCCGTCGGGTATGTGTGGGTAAGGTACCCGTCCTCGCAACGGTTAGGTTAGTGGGCCTTAGGCACTAAAGTGTGGATCCCAGCGTCTGCTTAGATAATCAAAGTTGAGCTTCCCCAATTCCCCAAGCTCAAGCTCTCGCGCATCCATCTCAACTATTCACACTATGGACCCTGCCATCCTCTAGCTCGCATCCACATCCATGCCTGCAACATTCATCTCTCTATCCTGAGAATAGGTCGACGTTCAAGTTATGCCGCGTTACCTGGACCAAGTCGCACTGGGCAGGGCTCTGCAGGAGCGCGCGAACCCTCTCCTTGAGGCAATTGCCGCCAACGATGCTTTGCACACCCATTATCTCAAGCGCTTCGAGAGCGATGAACCTCCGCAGTATGATTCAGACAGCTCATCAGAATACGACGAAGACGATGCTCCGCCAGAAGATCCCAACACAATTATCGAGCGACCGTTCGATGAGGACGAAATCAAGCGGATTGCTTCGGCATTGGGTCCTCAAATCAGCCCGGGCCAGCTCTACCTCTCAGAATCAAAGCGTGAGGAGAAAAGGATCATTGAGAATTGCCGTGGCTCAGTCTTCCATAAGCCCAAGGGTATCCGCCGGATAGGAATCGTTGCGCGCCACAACATGAAGAAGCGATGGGGAAGACTGGGCATCTGGAATCCCGCTTGGGGGTTTGCCGGACGCAATGTTAAGCCAAACGACAACTTTTATGAATGGCGGTGGAAATGGGATCAAGACGACGGCGAAGGCTCTGTGTCCCATGACCACAAGTGGGAAGAGGGCCTCATCAAACGCAAATTGCTCATACGAAAGAAGTTGCGTCGTGGCGAGTATGTGCGTATTGTGCCCCAGCCTGCGCTCGCACAAGACGCCACGGCTTCTCAGGCCGAGTCATATTTCACATCCAGGCCTTGGTTCATGTTTGAGCTTGAGGTCACCGAAGAGAAGCAACGACTAAGTCGTATCTCCTTCAAAGACCAACATAAGTTGCCTCAGACTTCAAGCATCGGGCAGGTCATCGAGAGGTGGAAAGTTCGTGGGGATTGGAGAGATGAGTACGACGAAGAAGGTGTCACCTCCTGGACATGGAAAGATGAATCTCACTCCCCAGAGCCCGAAGACTTGACGCCTATACAAAGCATGGATGATCTTGATTCGCTGGACGCTACGGTCATGGATTTCACGCCTTCGGAGCTCGACGAACTAGAGACCAACGAACTCCCATGGGAAGAGCAGCCGGAGACCTATTGGGTTATATCAAAGGGCATGGAAGATACGCCTGCGTTCCCCGGACAGATGCCGGAAGGTCACAGTCACGATCACCATTCCGATCCTATGCCCATCGCGCGATCAGCCACCGCCGGGGTTCTTGGTTCCAGGAAAGAGGCGCCTGAATCCGCAACCGATAAAACACCGCTCTCTGTAGATGCATCGGAACAGAAACCACTCGATCCGCAGGAACGCGCCGTGAGCCATACACCACAGCAAGCAAGACGTGGCCGTCCTCGCCAGCTGAAAAACGAGACGCGCATTGCCAACGGTAACATCCAGTCTTCTCCAGCACCCCGGCGTAGTGCCAGACTAGCTGGCACGAAACGCCCAGCCGAATCGGCGCCCACAGCAGCTGCACCAAGCAAGAGACCCAGAGGCCGGAAAGCCTCCAGTGCTGGTCAGCCTACTGGGCCAGAGCCTGTGCCAACGAAGAAGCGCTCTGCACCAAAACGGCTACCGGCCGGGGGAGAGACGAAAGCAATGCCCAAGCAAGGCAGGGGCCGTCCGAAAAAAGAGGTGCCAAACTCTGCCCCAGCGAAGACGGTCACTAAAGGCCAAAGTAAACGAGGACCGGGACGAGGGCGACCTAGGAAGGGAGACTCGGGACCTGGCCCATCGCAAGAGAACACTCCCAAGAGAGGACGAGGACGTCCGAGAAAGGAGACTACCGCGACCACGCGTTCTTCTATTTCAAAGAAGAAATGACTACATATGGGGACTCGCATTGAGCAAGCATAAGGTCGGGGCCAAGGACCGAATATGTCACTGGTCGTACTTACTGACGGCTCACCTGCTGGTAATTTTTTGATATGAATGAAGATCTTGCAGGAGGAAGGCGGGAAGCATGGAGTATTGTCATTGTAAAGGAAAACACCAGGAACACAAGTGCTCCAACGTCATCGTTAGGCTCACGAGCGATAAAGCATAATTTGTTCCACACATGAACGCCGGATGGCGATATGGATATAATCTCCTCTCTAGATCAGCTTGAGATGTGCTCGTCCATTAAGGGATTACGTAGACATAGTCATTATCCACCACGATGAGGATGGCTGCGCATCAGCTTTCCGAGGACAGGACCACTTGCGCAATAAAGAGGAAAATGTTCACAGTGGTATCGAATGAATTCAACAAAGACTAGGAGCAATCCATCATTACTAATACATCAACATAACCTCCCCCTTTTCAGTATGTACTGTTCAACCATGTGTCCTGAAAAGAAAATTACAGCATGCCTGATGCCACATCTCCAGGCGACAAAACCGGTCGACACCCCCTCAATTATTTCTCTCCTCCCTCCCAGGTGCGCATATCCCCCTTCACCTCGCGGAAAATACCACGCCAGTTACCAATTTCGTTCTCCGTACGCTTACGCCTGCTAAACGCAGTACGTCTAAAGCTCACGAACCAAACCATGAACCAATACGACGCCGCCGCCATCGATGCAACAGCCGCTACCCACGCCATGGCCACAAACGGCCCGCCCGTCTGAATCTGCATGCCAAACGCAGCCATGGACTTGTTGAGCATGCTCTTGCCGCCGTAAATGAGCGAGGTCGTGACGATGGCGAAGGACGGGAGGACGAAAGCGCCGAGCATGGAGAAGACGAGGGAGACGAGAACGAGGACGCGCATGAAGCCGACGATGAGGATGGGCAGCGTGGCGAGGAGCACGATGCCGGTGGAGATTGTGCCGATGGCGAGGAGGGCCGTCATTGCTTTTGCGCCGCCGCTGGCGAGGTCGACAACTTGGTCCAGTGTTCCTGCCATGGCGGCCACGAGGGGGACGGAGACGTTTGCGGTGCCGACGACGAAGGAGGAGGGGATTGAGTTGGTGATGTTTCGCAGGCCTAGTGACTTTTGCGTTAGTACAAAATCTCCCTGGCATGAGCAGACTGTTGGTAAACTAGAGAAAGCATACCAGCTCCTGTGTTGTCGTAGCTTTCGCATTTGTCAAAAGTGACTTTGCTGTTCGGGTCGTTGTCATTGGCGTAGGTCGCTTCGCACATCTTTGTCAGGTAGAGCCGGTAGTTGTCCTTGACGCCCAACAGCTGCGTCAAGTTTCCCACGAGCTGGCCCTGGATATCCGAGACACCATCACCGACTGCGTTCGTCAAGTTACCAAGCAAACCTCCCAGAACACTCCCGAGGCCCTCCGTGATGCCGGTCGGATCGTTGGGTGCGGGGATGCCCGGGATAATGCTGCCGCCTCCATTTCCGCCGTTGGTGTTGTTGGCTGCTTTGATTTGAACAATATCTTGACCGATTTTCGATGTGTTTAGCTACGATGTCAAATTAGTAAATTGTTTCTTTCTTCAGCCTTTGCGAAACAGTCGCGACTTACTGACAACCAGTAGTTGTTGCCTCCATTACTTGTGTTTGTCCCAGCTGCAAGCAGCACAATAGAAAGTGCGACGGCGACAGCCGATGCAATAATGGGAACGATGGCAGATAGCCGGCCTCCGATGCCGAGCATTATGGTAATTCGTTTGTTGACTTTTCAATTACAGTAGTAGTTAATAGTAAAGTTGTGGCGTTTAACGTGACATTTAAAATGGGCTTCGATGCAGGGTGTCAAAGAACTTTTATGATTCTCTCAAACCTCCTTTTCCACCTCCATAGTTCTGACTCGGGCCCTACCTCACCCTTAATATGCTCTCCACGGGCATCGAGAAACTTTTTCGATCGCGGAACCTGTCAGTACGTCATAAAACGTCCCAATAGACAAGCATCTTTGGGATGAAACGCTGGGATGAATCTTGAAAGCCTCAACGGTGCGATAACCGCAGTCGTCCAAGGGATACCTTACTATCCACAAGCATAATAATCGCTGCAACGGCCAACGGCTCGTGAAGATTCCCAAGCAGTAGAACCTGTTGCATATTACCTGCGCGCAGGCAAGGTGGTGGCCCAACAGCGCTGAGTTGTCTGGGAGTTTCAGGGTTGTGGCTTGTCGCTCCGCGACGAGGGTCTTACCGCAACGGGCATTCGATGAGAAACTAACGTCATGCCCGCGCCGGGGCGGTCGCATTAACATCTAATGAATCGGTTGGCTCTCGTGGAAAGTTATCGGCAACGTTCTGCTATGCATATCATATTGCCTAAGCTTGCGACAAGCGGCATAGCATATAACGGTGCGTTTCCCAACGATACCCACGCTTCCTCGCCAGGCGAGGCCGGGATTGGGCTGTCTGCCAAACTCTACAATACTCAAGCCCCCCTTGTCCTCTTGCTCCTCCCGTCGTTCAACGTGGTCGAATCATTTCTCCGACGTTTTCGTACCCGTATCGTAGAACGGAGCCGAAAGGACGTGCAGACCTGCTGGGCAGCATTGGTGTGCTGGTCTAGTGCACATCTTGCAGATCTTGGCCTAGGGTGGTCCTGCATTATCCGCATTACAAAGGTAAACTGCTGCCGTATTTCAACGTCAGTTCAGCAGAAAAAGCATCCACCGTTAAGCTTTTAAAGGATGCACGTCTTTCCGGGAGACCTCCCATTGACAAGTGTGCCCACCTCTCACCCCTTTACGGCAGAAGTTGCCGAACGAATGTCCAAGGACTTTCTGGAAATGTGCATGATGTGATAGCTGTAGTGAGCTGGGAGAATTTGGGCCGCGAGTTTGCTGGTGTCAGAAATTCTGCCATGATCGTCTGGAATTCTTGACCATCCACCACGAACGACCGAGCGTGTGAAGATGCTACTACCCGATGTGTCGTGATGCCACACTTTTTCGATAATCTTGGTTTTGAACGGCATCCGTAGCCGATTTTCAGATTTATCTTTTGCGGATTTTCTAGTTGGATTTTGGTCGATGTTGTCGCCACTGTATCAAAGTGATTCAAGTTGCACCCAATATCTGTTCGAATGACGATGCTTTCAGTTTCGCCTGAAGACCTAGAGACATTTGTTGAGAGAGTAATCCAAAGGTTTTTTCCAAGTTTGAAGATTCAATCAAGTCAAGAGATTGCCTCACAGGGTTATAGAGACTCTCGCTACGTGTATCTCCGTCTGTATGCGTACAGGCTGGCATGGTCAATTTCCTGATGTGAGAGTTGTTGCCTCACAAATCTTAAGACAGGCTTTTGCAACACATGATACCATAATTCTTGTTACAAGTGTCCATCGAGACCTTTTTCACAATGGTCACTTCTCATGAATTGATTTGATGACGAAGTTGTAAGGCTGAAGAAGAAGCTCACGCCATTAGTTCGCGACACATCACTGAGTTCTAACCCCCTGTAGTGACTAATGAGCCTCTTGCCGAGGGAAGCTGCGCACCAGCTGCTTGTGATACTGTGGCCAAAAATATGACAGTTTCCCAAAAGAGACAACACGGAAACGGAGTTCCCCACATTATCAACGGTCATTTCTCCAGAGTGACATGATCTACAGACTATTCCTTGAACCCCTTACATCACATTTCCTTACGCCATGCAAATGTCCCCCTTCCATCGTTCACACCTCGAACAACCTGGTACATCATCGAGATTTCAAGTAGACCAATTTCTTACAGAGCCTTGGGACATCCGCGACTGAGAAGTAGAGTAGGTCGTCGATTGCTTCGTAGACCCGAATACGATGGTTATGACGATGGTATCTGGATGAAAATCCAACTTCGTGCTGGGTTACCCAATGACATTCGTTCCTTCGGAAATGACGCTTCAGGCCTTTAATCAGCCACTTTCGATGAGACTTTCGATGGTGTGAAGAAAGAATCTGTACTAGACTGCACAGGTGAACAAGATCTATCGCTGACGGCTGTAACAAAGCAAATCAGAACTACAGGTGCTGGACCTAGGATATAGTATGTACTCCAGCTAGTACATGTTCCCTTCTAGTACATCGTCCACGCTTAAGTCATCAATATCAGGCACCTCTTTTTCCCGATACTGACAATACCACTCGAGCAACTCCGGGATCGTATCAAAGGTCTTGTCGTCGTCCGGGCCATAAGCCATGTATCGCCAGGCCCACGGCTCGACTTCTCCGTCGGCCCGGGTTTTTCGGCAGTAGACTATGTAAAAGAAACTCTCCACGCCGTCCCCAGACTCCCATCCCACAGCGACGTCCCAACAACCATCAACTGAAAGGTCCTGGGGTCTCTTAACCGTAGCGTCGATCAAAGATTCCGTCTGAGAGCTCGCCCCAGTCCAGAATACGGCCTGATACGTCCATTTGGTCTCCCCCATCCCGGGTCCGGTCAATGCGCCCACGTACTCTGCAAGAATTCGAAGCTCTGGAGGAGCAGTGATGCTATCACGGACTTCCTCGAGACATTTCGTCTTCAGCGCGCTCTCCAGACGGGAGAAGTACAGCTCTCGGTCATGGCTGTTGGGAATAGACCCTCCACAACCGTCAAGGTCGCAAAGCGGTGCGAGTTCATCAAACTTTGTGAGCATATCTTCTGGACTTGAAATCAGGGTCCGGGCATCATTCCGACTCAGGACGCTACCAAAACAGTCTACCCTCATGTCTTCGGCTTCATCTCCCCAATCTTCTGGGTCGAGCTCAGCCTGTGTGGCAAGTTGCACTAGATCCTCTGCATCAGTCTTATTCTTCAAACGTTTCCATGATGTGATTTTCACGCACCGTAGACTTCAAGGGCTCGGCGATTGCGTTCAGCGATGTGTGCACGATACGCATCAACAGCAGCCTTAATGTCCTCGCGCGTTGAGTACATGGCCTTAACCTGATCAAGATCTGTC